ACCTCCTCCGGGTTTGGGTTCGAGGAGGGTTTATCGGGGGTTCCGAAAATAGGGGACCCCAATATAGTACACTAAATAGTAGGACCCTTATTATAAGGACCCCAAAATAAGGTACCCTAATTTTGGAAACTCCCTTATGGCTGCACAAGCAGGGCTTCGCCCTAAAGCCCCGAAGCTAGGCTCGCAGGAAGCTAGAGATGAAGTTCCAAGACCTAGGCGCCCAGAGCGCGAGGATGCACAAGGGGAGAGACTATGGACTTGCAATAATGGGATCGGAGCTGCGTGCCACCCTCGCGGAGGCATGAGGGGAGATTGTTACTTGCTTTCCACACCTCTTTGTTGGAGCGGAGCTCAGGGAGGTTGCCACTCTCCGGGCGATCCCAGTGAAAGAGCGCACTGTTCCGAAAAAAAGATTTGTAGTGCAACCTCAAACCCGCAGCAGCCCACATATCAGTCACCCGGAAGTAAATCGGATCGCGACTTCCACCTCTACCACTCTGCTATTCCCAGTCCCACGGCCTCTGTCTCGCAACGAACTTCTTTCCTGCTCGGAGCAGGGTTTTGAAAGCGATTCACGGAGGATTGCCTTGGCAGAGCTCCGTCCTCAAATCCTAGTGTGGGGCCTTTGATGAATAGAACAAGGTTTTGGGAGCATGCTACAATTATATCTCGTGCATGTGTTGGGTTGCAGCGTGCCCTGCTTGGTTCTTCACACAGCGCCTGAGCGAACTGTGGGCTGCAGGATATTATCACGGATTGGTTGATGCCAGTACCCATAGGCCCCATAGTAGTTCCTTTTTGGGATTACCCTTTAGGATTCTAAATATGAACCCCAAACAGGAACTACTATGGGGCCTATGGGTAAGGGTTCATACAATCGATGTTGAGCCCAGCGGCAGCTCGCGGTGTGCTCGCACGAGCTCGGCACCCCGCTGGTGGCAGAGCTCTTGTGCCTCTGCGTACCTCGTTGGGAGCTTCTGCTGCTACTGCCAGGGTTTAGGGGTTTAGGGATTTAGGGGTTTAGGGTTCAGGGGTTTAGGGGTTTAGGGAGTCCCATTACCACTTCCAGTGACCACTGCTACTGCAACCACTCAACACGAAAACGAGGCTTGACAAAATCCCGGACCGATCTCCGTGCCCCCACCTGCCCCCAACTCGTAAACCAGGATGCATGGCTGTAGCCTCGCTAAAGCCCTGGGCCATGAGGGTGTGCATCTCCTCTGCGAGCCGTGGCCAACGTGGGAGGGAGTCTTGGGCTTTTTTGAAGTTCAGGGTCTCATCTGGCGACTAAAAAGGCTCTCGCTTCGAAGCCCTTCTGCGCAAGGTACTTTTTGATGATGTTGTTGCCGACGCTCGGGCGCTTGGAGCCCTCTCCGCAAAAAGGCCCTCATCACCGTTTCCCTGGACCTGCCTAGCCGATGAGTGTACATGTCGCGCAATACGAACTTGTTGAAGAAGGGTTCGAAAACGAAGGCGGAGTTTCAGAAACTGCGGGACCCTAACATTGACCGAACCGGTAGTCGGAGCTTGAATACAAAGACCTTCAAGACGGTACCCTTTATCTCAAGAAACCCCAAGTCCACGAGTTTTTTGCTGTGAAGTCATCCTCTGTGAGGCCGGAATGGCGCTGTGCGCGATCTCGCCTGGAATGTGCAAGGAACTCTTACGAATCGAAGTGGGCTGGGTGCTTGGAGCCCTCAACCCCCAGACAGCAGAACAAGGCTACTATAAGGAAACGACAAAGGATATAACCGAATCTAACCACTAGCGCACATGATCCAAAACAGCAGAAGAGCCCCCGAAAGTTCGGCCCAAAGGGCTGCTGCAACGCCAACTCGATGGCCTGGGATGCTTGACCTGAGACTGGAATCGATCTGCCGAGGCTGCTAACAAAGACTTCAGAAAGCACAAGGGGTCTGAGGGTTCAGGGTTTAGGGGACCCATAAACATCCTACTCGTAGGATGATCCTGAATCCGATAAACCATTGACCAAAGTCCGCGTGGCACTGGACTTTTTCAAGTCGATCCTCCAGATGCTGCATCACTTCCTGCAGAAACACATGTCAACCTTACTTCCTTGCGGATTCGAGGATCCGGGAGAGCTTCTCTATTTCCATCCTGCGAGGGTTCGATTGCGGTTTCAAGCCTGGGACGTTAGGAGTGAAGGCTTAGGATTCGGGGTGGGGGTTTGGCTTGGTTTAGGGTTTAGGGTTTAGGACTCCTGAAAACAAGCCGCACAGAGTCCTATGGCCGCGGCGACCAAAGGCATGATGATTGTGACGTTTGGCAGCTTGGCAGCTACATCTAGGCTCCTTCTTGCTATGACCATGAGTACTGTGGTCCGGTCCAAGATTGAAAGCACTCAGGCAGAAAAGGCGGTCGACGGAGCAGCCTTCACAAGTATTTGCCAGCAAAACTCCGCACCACGTAACCCGGGTCCAAATGAGACTAGGGCTCTAGGACCCTCGGTAGGAGGACTGGCTCCTTCATGGACTGCTGCACGGCCGTAAGCTCTGACAGCATGGCTTCAACGCCGCTGTATCCTGGGATTCGGGCTCAGATTTGATTGATGGATATCATATCCTAAACCCTAAACCCTACAGCCTAGACCATGATGGGGAGCTCGAGCCCTTCCTTCGAGTGAGGGCCTACGGAGTGTGGTGGGAGTAGCATATGCAACACAACGCCTTGGAGGTGGACATGCTCAAATCCGCTTAGATCGCATCACCCGCAGAAGAAGCACAAACCTGAAACTGCAGCCGCCGCACGTTCCAAGGACTCCGCTCGATTCGTTCGGACCTCGCTGCAAAGAACTCCAAGGACGCGTGACTTCCTGTTGTACTCGTATTTCAGAGAAGCCAGACCACGAACCTTGCGCCCGGAACCCCCACCTCTGAACGAAGAAACAGGAGCCTCAACATCGCAGACGCCCCAAGCCAACAGGCAGTAAGTCGCTTCGCCCACCCCCCCACCACCCACCCACCCTAGACCAAACCCCAACACATAAACCCCAACACATGGGAGTTGCAGAGAACCGGGGACCTTATAAGGACCCTTCAATATTAAAGGAACTCGACACCCTTATCGGAAGAAAGCGCTTTGAGCGAGCCTTTGACTCCAAACGGCGAATCGACAAAGCGACGTCTTTGGGGCTCCTCGGCTGGAGGAATTGGAGCTAACGGGCCAAGGGCTTAGGTTACAACTAGGGAATTTTGCATGGTTTAGAGGTTCAGGGTTTAGGGTTTAGAATGGTTTAGAGGTTCAGGGTTTATAAGTTTGTTTTTTGACACCCCCTTTTCTCCTGCCCTGTTAGGTTGGTTGAACGCCAAGATGGCCGAGGCTTTAACTAACCGGGGTTAAAGGGGTCCGAGTCTGCCATCAGGCTTGGGCTCTACTGGGCTCTGGACTGATACTCTTAACTTTAACGCATCGCAACCGGGCTTTAGGCCTGTGGAGTGAGGGTTATGACGGCTACAGGCACGGGTCCAAAGCTTCGAGTGTCTGGAGCCACCACATGTTTGCACATGAAAAATTGCACACACATACACGCACACACACACACACAGAGTTGGACAGAGAGAGAGTGCGTGTTTGTGTGTGTGTGTGTGTGCGTGTGGGTGTGGGTGTGTGGGTGTG